GCTCTCGGCGACACGGAACAATCCGGCGCGAACTCAACGGCAAGACTTCTCGGACGCGCGAAACCCTAACCGAAAGACGCGGACGCAGTTAACATTTATTTCCCGGCGAACGGTATGAGCACCGTCGCACGTACAACACTCGGCCGGGGCGTTTCGCCCGCGAGACTGGGTACTCGGGCCGACGGATCGGCCCGTCTTACAACGACGTGCAATGTTCCGTCGGGCAGTCCCCGACGGCTAACCACGGCGAGCCTTTCGCTCGCTCCCGGCCGCGCCGGCCGCGCTGGTCGGCAGGGGATCCCGCTCCGGACGCACCGTCCTCGCGAACTCGCCACCGACAGCGGCGGAAGCGGCCCGGGGTATCGCAAACACGCACCCACTCGTTCACACTCTCTCAATCGCCGGGACTCTTCGGCGACGCACCTCCACGCTACGCATGCACGCGACACTCCCGCGGCATGCGTACCCCGCGTGATCTCGCGCAACGCACCCCTCGCGCCGCGAATCTCCAGATCGGCTAACCCCAAAGAAAAAGGAAATGCACGCGATCGCGAGACTCGACGCAAACACACACTCGCTCACTTACACACGAGACCTGTGCCCTGCAGGCTCCGGGGAACCGCGGTTGCTTGTCGCCGCGACCGGGACACCAACAAAAATCTAAAGCCGGTGGGCCGTAGCCCGGGCGACACCAAACGCGAGATTTTCCCGGCGGCGACAGAACAACCCGGGCCCGGACGCAACCGCCCGGGGCGAAACGGACGGAAAAGGATCTCACCGGCACCTCGGCTCTCCCGGGATCGGCAGGCGGCAACGGCTCGACCTGGGCTTCCGCGGGAACTCGCACTCGTGGGCGGGAAAACGGCGGCAGTGGTAGACCGGGGTCCTCACTCTTACACGACTCGCAACAGGCTGTCGCCAAATTTCCGCGATCGCGGATCGATAGTTAGGGGCCCCCCCCTCGCGGCTGCTCGCGCGAGGCGCGTGCCCCGCGGCCAATCGCGCGACGGCACGCGACAACGCCGGCAGCGATATTTTCCGGACCGGGCACAGGTGCCCGCGGGGTCGCCAAATTTTTCCCGCGGCGTTCCCTCGACGGGGCTGTCGCAGCGGCTCCCCCGCTGACGCCCCTCAGGTAGAGTGAAACGGGCCCTGGGCTTCTTCCTCTCGGCTCGCCGCTCAGCGCGCTCCGCTCTCAATCTGCACGCCTCTCCCTCGTGCTCGCCGCGGAATTTGTCCGTCAGCCGGGCCTCTCCTCTCTCTCCTCTGTCCTCGCGTCCCTCCGCACTCACACGCTCGCATTCATCAGGGCAAAACAAAAAAAACAAAATAATCAGAAATAACGTCGGAATTAACGAATAACGGTCGCCTTTCTGGAGACTGCGGCACGGTTTTCCCTAATCTTGGCCTGTTGCCTTGAGGGAGGAACTCGGTGGACGCGCTCGCGGGTCGGCAACGTCACAAACTAAATAATAGAAAAAGGATTGTAAAGAATGAGAATATGAAATCAATTAAAATTTTTAATTGACCATACCTGGCAATGTGTTTTTAACACAGAAAAATTATTAAATATTACCTCAGCGAAAAATATTACCTCAGCCAGGGTTTGAACCTGGACTTCCCTGCTCACTAGGCGGGTGTCTTACCAACTCGACCACTGAGGCTAATGGCAATATTTATCGCAATAAACTGTACTTATGATGACATCGTCACTGTGTTAAAAACACGTTGCCAGGTATGGTCGATTAAAAATTTTAATTGGTTTGATTCTTGCACTGGCATTAAAATAATTCTTGATGTTAATGAGAGCATGAGTTGAGTGTCAGTACATGTTTGTTATACTATTCATTTCTTTGCTTTACACTAAATGTCACTCCTGACTTCCTGATTTAGTTTTCTTACTTATTTTCTTATGAATACGAAAAGTATTAAACATTTTTGAATTATATTATAACTTCCGAGTACACTAATTGCATTACTTTTGAGATATAATGGAAAGCATTATAAATTAAGTGTGTCAAACACTATCACTATATAAATACGTAAATCAATATACATGAAAACTTACTTTTCATGGCAATCATAGTATACGTGTCTCCAATTTTAAAATTGTTTTTTGTCCCGTCCAGGAACACAGACTTGCTAAATTATCAGTAAATATTGCCGTTAAGGTTCTTTTAATAAAATCTCTTTCATTTTTACCTCCAATGAGTAACATTTTGTTTACCTATAACAGAAAAACTTTTTATCACATTGTCTTTTATTTTCTATTATCTTTGTTTTTTTTTAAATAGACTTTATAGTAAAAAATTATACAAACAAATAATATAAATATGAACAATGGAA